TTCATAACTACTAAGACACAGAGCCAATTATGATGGTTTATTGATTGTATCAATTTGAGTAAATAACATCCAATTAAATTGACTCAGCATTGTTCTGGGTATGGAAGACCCACCATAGGGAGGATTACCACCAGAATGCCATAAAAGGGAAAAAGAAAAAGGGAAAGGAAGTAGGAGGGCTTGCTTCGGTTTCCTTTGGAGAAACCCTAGTCTTTGCTTTCACCTTGGATGTTGATTCCTGGCTTTCAGTGCAAACGCTTCCGCTGCCAGCTTCAAGCCTTTAGCCTTCCAGTGCAGACCATTTGGCCTCCTTGCACAGACTCGCTTGAACACTACACAGAGCTCCAGGCCTTTGACTGGATCGTTGAGATCCCCAGTGCACTGACTGACCTTTTGTACTCTTCCACACATGACTCTAGATGACCATCATAAGCCTATCTGTAAATTCTTATATATTTATCTATCTTGTATTATATCTGCTTCTCTAGTAAACTGGCTGATACACCAACGAAGATACTTTGCTTTGGGCACCACTAAAAACATTCATGGCTTGTATTCCCAGCATTCAGGAAGCCGAGGCTGGAGGATTTTCGTGAGTTTGAGGCCGACCTGGGCTACAAAGAGAGTTCAAGAGCAGCCTGAACTTCACAGTGGAACTCTTGTCTCAAGAAAAAGTAAAATAAAATAAAGAAAAGAAACAGAGAAAAAACTTGTATGAAGTAGCAAATGCAGTGTATATTAATTCAGAGTCTAAGGTGAACTCCAAGCATTGGCACCTTCTACCATGAATACTGTCCAGTCTTCAAGTCAGAAAGCAATTGTGAATAACTTACCATTCCAGAGCATCTCTTCTGACTATGTATTCAAGAACTGGATATGAATGAATCCTCAGAGATTCGCAAACTCATTTTAAAATATACACTAAGCGGGGCTGGGGATTTAGCTGGGGACTTAGCTCAGTGGCATAAGCACTTGCCTTGCAAGCAGGCAGTCGTGAGTTCAATCCCTGGTACCGATAAAAACGAAAAAACAAACAAACAAACAAACAAACAAAAATATATATATACACTAAGCTCCTGAAGCACGCTGTGACTTTAAACTTCATTTTCCTAAGCTCCCACTCTGAATTATGAAACTTAATGTTGTTTGAGGCCCACAGATGTTAGCCTTGAGTCAGAGCCACTGCACACCTAACCCTCAAAAGTCTATATCCTATAAAAGGCCATGAGTCTCTTTATAGAAAATTTAAGAGAAAATCAAATACTTGTAGCAGTATCACAGAGTTGTTTCCTGAGGAAAACTTAACAACTCCTATCAATCAAAGGCTCCAGTCTACGAACTGGTTCAAATCTAGGGAGTAAGCATGAACAGGTCTTCACTCTCCATCTGTGTCATTTAAATGGTTCTGTTCCCCAGAACCAAGGGGATTTATTTGTTTAAAAACAATTCGTGCCAGGCGTGGTGGTGCATTCCTGTAATCCCAGCACTCTGGAGGCTGAAGCAGGCAGATCACTGCAAGTTCAAGGCCACCGTGAGCTACAAAGTGAAGCCAAGGCCAGCTTGTACTGCATAGTGAGACCCTGGTCTCAAAAAGACCAAAAAAAAAAAAAAAAAAAAAAAAAAGGCTCAAAAATACAATTCATGGTGCTTGCTTCGGCAGCACATACACTAAAAAAATACAATTCATGTAAGATTTAAATCTCAACTATTTTAATCACTTTTTAACCACTACTAGGTTGCTATGAGTGAAATCATTTGATTATATATATCCCTGGCTCTGCTGCCTGTGAACAGTAAAATGCCCACCTTGTATCTGAGATTTAAGCATCCATTTGACCTCTGACCCTATAGTACAATCAGCCCAATTAAAATCAGAGAGCCACTTGAGCTGTGGTGCCTCCTACCATCCTCAGCAGGTTGGCATTCTAGAGCATTTTAAGGAATCTGGTGCTCCCTTGCCAATACTTAGGGAAACCTCGGTGAAAAGAGTATATTCTGGACCCCCATGGTCGTTTGTTTGTTTGTTTTGGTACTGAGGATCGAACTCATGACCTTGTGCTTGCCAGGCAGGTGCTTATGCTGCTGAGCTAAACCCAGGCCCACTCCCATGGTTTTGAGATGGATGGTAAGTCTACTCTCAAGTTATCTGTGTTCTGAAGCCTTTAGTTTCTCTCCTCTGCCTTAAGCATCTTTTCTGGGGGGCTGTTGGAGATTACACCCAGGGCCTGGTCATGATTAATATGCTCAACCACTAAGCATATACTTAGCCAGAAGTATGGTACCTTCAGGCATCAAGCTATAATTCTAGCTCTCTGGGAGGTTGGGCAGTGGGATCACAAGCTCGAGCCTAGCATGTACAATTTAGTGACTGACAGAGACCCTATCTCAAAATAAAAACTAACAAAGGGTTTGGGATGTAGCCCTGTGTGAAGGCCCAAGTTTCAATTCCCAATTCTACCAAAATGTCAACAAAAACTAGGGCATCTTTCATGATTTGTTTTGTTTTGAGAGAGGTTCTTACTACGTGTAGTCCATGTTGGCTTTGAACTTGCTGTGTACTCAAGGCTGGCCTCAAACTCATGATCCACTTGCCTCAACCTTAGAAGTGCTAAAATTACAGGTGTGTGCCACCATGCCTGGCAAGGTATGGCATTTTCCTGTCATTTCATATATGTTGCTGTTGGGACCAAGTTTCAATCAATAAACTATTAAAGTCATCTTTAGATATTTCAAGTTACATTAAACCCTGACTCTCGATAAATATATTCATGTTAATAAATTTAGCTTTTCAATGATATGGTCCTTCCTCATTAGTATAATTTCCGACAAACTTAGATTGTCAGAATCTTACCCACCTTTCAATATGGCAGTCTCTAGGTCTGTCCCTGTATTCAGCACCCCTACAAGGTGTGCTGGGACTCAGCTCTAGTTATGCAGGCCTGGAGCCATCAGAAGTGGTAGTGATACAGAGGTGGATCTTAAACAATAGGCATCTTTGCTCAGGGTAGCTGCCTCGCATGAAAGTAATTCTGAGTCCTCAGAACCAGATAGTTAATATCCTTAGAAGAAGAAGGACTGCTTGTACTGGCAAGAGAAGCTCAGTGATTTGTCAGGTTCTTTTAGATGTTTTCATTCCCAATTCTCAGGTTTCCATACATTCCCCAAATCTTGTTTTTCACATAAGAGTTCTGGCCAAGAAATCAATTTGCGCTGTAAGTCTGCAACCTATTAAATGAAATTTGGGAGTCACACTGAAACCTATTAAATGAAATTTAACCTATTAAATGAAATTTGTAGTCACACTGGTCTTCTGGCTACAAGAGAGATTACTTTAAGACACTCACAGAAGCTCTCTGCTTTGACTGTGCCTTTGTTCCAGTAATTAAATCCCCAAGTTAAAATCCTTGTAAGCTCATTAATATGGTCAGAGATGGGTAACTCACCCCCAAAATGCTTATAGTTCTCAATCCTATTATAACATTCTTGCAGATTGATAATTTAGTAAGCTCTTTTGCCCTGGGTTTCTAGTAGTAAGACAAGATCATATTGCAGGTTGAGCAAAATAATTCTAGACTCTAGCACTTTAGATATGGGATATTCAATTTGAACCATCAAATCTAACTATGTCAAGGGTATACACCTGTAATCCTAACACTTGGTAGGCTGAAGCAGGAAAATTGTAATTTTTGAATCCCATCCAGACAATTTAGCAAGACTTCACAAAATAAAAAATGGCTGGAGATATAGCTCAGTGCAAAGGTCAAAGAATGAAAGAGAGAGAGAAACAGAGACAGAGAAGAGAAAATAACAAGGTCAGATTTTCAACTTTGAGTCTCCATAAACTCTGTAACTGCTTCTAGAACAAAATGTTTTATCAATCAAGGTTAGATCAAAAGAATAGCTTTTATTTCATATACTTGTGTTATGGGAAAACAAGCTGTCTTTTTTTCCTTCTAATCTCCTTCTATACCGGACTTCCGTGATCTCAATAGGTGTGGGAAACTAGGTGCAGAGGTGCATGCCTGTGATCCCAGAAAGCTGGGAGGATGAGGCAGGAAGATCCAAAGTTCAAGCAGACCCGGACAATTTAGTGAGACTCTGTCATAAAATAAGAAATGAAAGAAGGACTAGAGATGTAGCTCGTGTGAAGGCTCTGGATTCAATACTCAGTATCACACACACACACATGCACACAAGTGTTGTTTCTCTTCACTGGCAGGCAGGCAAGCATGCTGCAGCAGTGAACACCAGCTAGATGTCTTCTAATTTAATTCTGCCCTGACAGTCTACGGAGATAGCACTGGTCACCACAAACAGAGACCTGGGAGCAGGACCAGGTCCGTGGAATTTCTAACAAATCAGTCATAAACTGGGTTCCCATATCCTTTTCACAGTTTCCACTCATTGCTGCAGTAGCTACCAGAACTCAGGGAAGCACTGCTCTTATGTTTACTGTTTATTACAAAAGGGTATTCAAAGAGTGTCCACAAGTATCTGGGTAAAGAGATGTCTGGGGCAACGTCTGGACAGGTCCTGAGGGTATGAGCTTCTGCGCCAGGACCTTCTTGGCTTTTGTGTGCTGTATTCTTTCCTCCATGGCATAGAGCTGAACCTTCTGATACGAGGAGAGTCTTTTGAACCTTAATAGACAAGGTAGGTCAAAGAATTTCTTTATGACCAGCTAAAGGTAGGGTAAGATCTGAGTTTTTATAACCTACCTTGGGAAGGGAGTTGCAAGGCAGGAACTAGAAAATTTTTAACATGGAGGATTAATGTTTACAAAATTATTGGCAAGTGAGGGGGAATAAAAGTCAAAGAAAGCAGCCGTTGGCTTTTAGGAACTCTGAAAGTGCAGAAATTACATGAAGCTACTCTGATCTCAGAAGCTGGAGGAGCTGTAAACATTTTTCAGCAGAAAGCCTTTGCCAATTTATGTTTCTTCAACAGCGTATCTTTAACAAAGAGGCTATTCTCTTTTTTTCCTTTAAAATTTCCCCCAGCATATGAAGAGCAAGCAGGCACTGTCAGAGAAGCTGTCTGAGTTGCTGCAAGAAAAGGAAGCTCTGTGGGAAGAACATGGGCGATACCTAGAGCAGCTTGACAAGCACATGAGGTAAATGTGCAGATGGGCAGCAGACACTGAGGGGGGCGGTCCCTGGCTGCACCGGCCTGAGCGACAGCGGGAGGCTCCTTACAGCCAGCCTCTCTGTGCCAGTGAGGTCTTCCTGTTTCCAGAGCTTTGTGCACAGAGCTTCTCCTGGAGATATGGGGCCCACGGCCTTCCCAGGAGAGGAAAAGGGAAGGGAATTACCACTCATTGAGTTCCGTTGCCTCCCCTCTTTTTCCCCCTCACACACTGCTCAGTTCAAACCACTTTTTCCTATCTGAACTCTTCATTTCAACTCAGAATGTTTAGACTCCGTGTCACCACCTTTCTTAACACACCAGTCCGTGCTGGAGAGATGCTCATTCTTTGCATCCCTGTACCCTTTTGTCCATGCCTCTCTGGACTTATATCAGAGCTTTTCCTCATGTTCAAAGAACAGGGTGACCACATGGCTGTAATCCCAGCACATGGGAATCTGAGGCAGGAGAATCACCAGGAGTTCAAGACTAGTCTGGGCTACAAAGTGAGTTCAAGGCCAGGCTGACCTGCATAGTGAGACCTTGTCTCAAAAACAGAACAAAACAAAGACTGTGGTTTGCTAGTTGTCTTCTTTACCAGGCTTTAAGCTGTTCAAGGGCATGTGGACTCCGTTACAGTCCCTGGTGGACAGTAGATAATCAAGTAAAATTCATGTCCTTAACCAGCCCAAAGGCATACACCAGTAATCCCAGCTACAGTACTTGGGAAGCTGAGGCAAGCAGGAGGATTTCTTGAACTTAGGACTTTAAGGCCAGCCTAGGCAATATAATGAAAACCCTATCTCTTTAAAAAATGGGGAGAGGGGATGCTGGGGATGTAACTTAGTACTAGACAGCTCGCCTAGCGTGGACAAGGCTTTGGCCCAGCACACACATGCACATCCACACACACTTCCTACCATGTCCATTTCCTGCTCATCACTACCAGATTCCTTTCTGTCTCCTCCTCTGAAGTATGTGAAACTCACTAGTCCAGAGAAATGGCTTTGGAACCACTCTACCTGGTTACAAATCCTGGTTCTATTAGAAACTAACTGTATAATCTTGGGTGAGTTATAAAACCTCAGTGCCTGAGGGTTTTATTTTCCTTTTTTTTTTTTTAATTCAGTACTGGGGATTGAACTCAATCCCCATTAAGCTATATCCCCAGCCTTTTTTTAAAATTTTGAGACAGGCTGGGCTCAGACTTGTGGCTCTCTTGCCTCAGCCTCCCAGAGTTTTGGATTTAAGGCATACGCCATTTTATTTTCATAAAATATAATACTTCATAAAATTGATATGCCCTAATGTTGGCAGTTAAAGACTTAATTGCTAAAGACCAACAGAACCCAAATTAACAGTGCTTACACATATAAAGCTTATTTCAGGAAAAGGGTCTAATAAAGGAACAGCATAATAGGAAAGGTCTGCATGAAAGCCATGGTGTCTCACAGCAAGGGGTCCAGAGGAATCAGGCAAGAGCAGCAGTGTCCCTCCCTCTGGATGCCTTCCTCTCTCAGATCAGAAACCATGTGTGCACTAAGCACCTTAGAACCCAGGAGCCCAAATGTCTCAGCTAGAACTTCCGTGTGAGTGACTCCATTATTTTTTCTCTTAATGCTGGGGATTGAACCCCAGGGCCTTGTGCATACTAGTGAGTTCATCCAGATTTTTTCCTTTGTTTTCTGGGCCTCGTTTGAGAACATAGCTCCAAAACATGAGCTCCTGTAATTTTTATTTAACAGATACTAAGTGAAACTTCCTAATGCTTAATTTGAAGCTCTGCTGATTAAACAGTGTTATAAGGGAAGTACTGCAATTATCAGAGGATGGCATAGTGGTTGTATGCTTTAATCTATGTTTGTGTTCACTCTGTTTAGCTGTTAAAGTTTGAAATGCTAAATGAAGATTTTTTGGGGGGGTGGCTGTTTTTTAAGATATAAAGTATATGCCACAAAATTCATCCCTTTAAAATGTACAATTCTGTAAATTTTACTTTGTCCTCCATCACCACAACCAGCTTTAGAACATCTCACTACCTTAAAAAAATTTCTGTCACCTTTTTTTTTTTTTTTTTTTTTGTACTGGGACTCAAACTCAGGACCTCATGCTTGCCAGGCATGCGCTTATGCTGCTGAGCTAAATCCCCAGCCCAGTCACCTCAAAGATAAACCCTATATCTTGTACCTCATTTCTCTCTTCCCTCCAGCCCTAGGCAATCACTAATCTTTCTTCTGCTCTAAGATTTGCCTTTCATGTACATCTTATATTAATCAAATCATATTACATGGCCTTTTGTGTCTGGCTTCTCTCACTTAGCATAATGCTTTCAAGCTTCATCCATGTTGAAGCTCATTTCGGTACTTCATTCATTTTTATGACTGGGTGATAGCCCATTGCACGTTGATCCACTTATCATTTGATGGAAATTTGTGTTGCTTTAGCCTTTTGGCTATTATGAACAATGCTGCTGTGAACATTTGTGCATAGGTTTTCATATAAAAACATTTTCACTTTTCTTGAGTATATGCTGAGGAGCAGAATTATTGGATCATCCTGAAATCCTATGAGTAACCATTTTAGGGAAGATTTACGCTGTTTTCCAAAATGGTTACCCCATTTTACATTCCAGTCTACAATGGATGAGTGTTAAGTTTGCCCATGTCTTTGTCAGTACTTGTTATTATCATTGTTTTATTCTGAATCAACATAGTGAGTGTATAGTCCTATTGCATTGTTTTGCATTGATTTGGATTTGTTTTTGCTTAATGGCTAATGATGTTGAACATTTTTCCATGTGCGTATGGGCGATCACTTAGATTTATGTCAGAATCAGACTGAGAATGAAAAGCAAAGACCTATATAGAATTGGCATTTTAAAAATCCTAACAAATGGGGGAGAAATTAAAGAGAGGAGAGGGGGACAGCAAAAAAGAAAAATCAAGGTACACTGGTGTACCTATGATGAATGTGATCAATATGAGTAACAAACACAAGCTAATTTAAAAAAGATAAATAGTCCAAACCAAAACAGGCCCAATTATTTGGGAATTAGGCAAGATCAAAGCAGTTATATTGCTGTTCAAGAGTATAGATAAGAACTGGGAAATTTTACATTAATAACCTAGTCAGTGAAGCAAGACTCAAAATTTAGATGCCAGGGATCAGAAGTCAAGAAGTTTCCTAAATTAAACTCAAAAGCTAGAACTACCGTTACAATCAGCTCTAATCAAGACAAGCCAGAGACTAGACGCCATGGGTGGCTACATTTGTTATACAGGATATTATCCTTGGTTTATTCTCCTACACAAAGATCAAGGAGATGTGAAGCAAGAGCAGTATCCACATCTGCTTCCGGGACCTTAATATATGCAAGAAGAGAGAGCCCAAGAAGGTATACACTGAAGATGCAACGTAAGTTTTAATTGTGTTTAGATGTACCCATACTCAAATTTACTTTTACAGAAACTGCAATGAAAAATATCACCACCGCAAAGCTAAGCTTCAAAAGGTCAAGGATCATTTAGTTCATGAAGTAGAAATACGAAATAAGAGAATTAAACAACTTGAAGATGAAACTGGAATACTGCAACAAAGAATTAAATCGGTGAGAATTTAAATGTGTACTGATGATGCCAGTGGTCAGCCATTTGCAGAAAGCCCATGCATTTTTAATTGTTTGTGGTCTATTCACAGTCTTTGATCTCACTACTTTGTTTGTAGGGGAACTCACTCTTTCAAAGTGAGTAGATCTTTAAACCCTGCCAAACGTAAAAAAGACTCGAGTATTGCTAAATCAAATTGGACACTAAACATATTCTGCACTGCTAGTTTCTGTCTTGCCTTCAAGGTGACTTTTTTTTTTTTTTCCGGTATTAGAGCCTTAGCACTGGGCTACATCTCCAACCCTTTTTTTGTTTTTGTTTGAGATGGTCTCTCCCTAAGTCATAAAATGGGCTAGACTTTGCAGTCCTCCTCCCTCAGCCACCTAGAGTGCTGTAATTACAGATGTACTCCACCACACCCAGCCAAGTATCTGTTCTTGAAACTTCCTCAACAGAAGCTTTCAAACCATCCTTAGTAAGTCACTCCTGCTTTATATAGTCTTCGTATTGCCTCAAACTTTAGTGTCAATCTTAAGTGGCAGTAGAAACAGGAAAACCATTACCAATTGCTTTACCAATTCTTTTTCCATATCGTTTCTTGCATAGTGCCTTTGAACATTTTTTCCTAAGTAGCTCTGATTTCTTTAGGCTTCTTTTATTGGCTTATTAGTACATGGTAAGAAGGAAGTGGGACAGATGAATACAATCATATACAGAATCAGAAGTGGAGAGCAATGGATGAACCCAGTCACCGTTTCCCTTCTCAGAATCTCCAGCTCATTGCAGGAGAGAATGGCCATCCTGCTTCATGGGTCCACCAGAAATCTCACCAGTGCCTATCTGCACTGCTAGCTCTTCCTTGTGCTGCCTGCCTTCCCTGTGTAACCATCTGTGTGTGGGGGCAGCACCCTGTGACTGCAGGTGCGCTTCCTCTCCTCCTGACTGCGTGAGGTGAATAGTATCCCCCAAAACCACATCTACCCAGGACCTCAAAGTGTGACCTTTCTTGGAAATAGATTCTTTGCAGATATAATTAGTTAAAATGGGGTCATCCTGGGTCAACTGAATTCTAAATCCAATATGACACTTTTTTTTTTTTTTGGTCTTTTTTTGAGACAGGGTCTCACTATGCAGTTCAGGCTGCACTTGAGCTCACTTTGTAGCCCAGGCTGGTCTCGAACTTGCAACGATCCTCCCACCTCAGCCTCTCGAGTGCTAGGATTACAGGCATGAGCCACCACGCCTGGCTCAATATGACACATTTTTATAAAACTTCTAGGATGGGCCAGGGATTTAGCTCAGCGGCATAAGCACCTGCCTTGCAAGAAGGCGGTCGTGAGTTCAATCTCCGGTACCGATAAAAACATGAGAAAATTACTTTTTTTCTGTTTTAAACCACTCAATTTGTGGTAATTTGCTATGGTGGTCTAGGAAGCCACTGTATGACTGACGGACTCACAGGTCTCCAGAAAACATCCTGGGCGGCACCAATATGCAGAAGCTAACAAAGGAACTAGATCTTTTGCTTACTGCCATTGAAGGGTTCTGAGAGTTTTAGCTTGGACTCGGATTCAAATTCTATCCCTGACATATAGACTTTGGACAAGTCTCTGTGTATCGTTTTCTTCATCAGAAAAATAGAGAAAAATATCTCCACCTTACACATAAGGCTTTGGGGGGCTTTTTGGTTTGGGTTGGTTTTTTGCTTTCAGTTTTGGTTTTGACTTTCTAGTCCCTCTCACTAGTCCAGACTGGCCTTGAACTTATTATGCAGCCTGGGCTGACCTCAGAGTCACCACTCTCCTCCCTCAGGCTTCTGAATGCTGGGATTACAAGTATGTGCCACTGTACCTGGTTTACTTACATACACACAACTTTCGTGAGAATTAAAACATAAAATTCTTAAGGTGGCACATGTAAGTTTTTCATAGGTATCATTTTCTGCTTTTGTGTATAAGCTTTTAGAAAAAATGTCAACAGATGGATACATAGTTCACAAGACAAGGTGTGAACTAAAATAGAACTACTTAGCTCAGTGAAGATGGATGTGACAGCTTTTAATGCACAGTAGCACATAGAAAAGCTACTCTTACTTTCTGATTCTCCAAAAACTAATGCCTTTTCTTTTAACTTTATTCCAACAGTTTTCTCTTCATACAGCAAGTCAGTTGAGTCCTCCAGCCATTGTGACCATGCAAACCAGATTTTCCCAATATTTTATCTTATTTGTACAGGAAGTGTCCTAATTTGGAGATGTGTCCAAAATATGATGTTTCCAAAGATCAAGGTGTCTTCCCCATCCAATACCCTTTCTAATCAAGTTATATGAGCATAGGACATTGTCTGTGAAATGGCAGCTTCTGTTCTCAACTCTTGCAGTATATTAGTACTTAAATATCTTCAAATAATAGCAGGTGAAATTATCTCTAGACACTGTAGGGTCCTGGAGGGGCTTGAAAATATAGGCTGTTTTGTTTCTGAACATAATCTTACTTCCTCCTTGATTCATCTTTAGTAGTAAATGGACAATCTTTTCTGAATGATCTACATTAATAGTTTATTTAAAATAAAAATAAAAATTGCTCTTTTTGCCTAGATTTTTGGACACATATCTGTAACCTTAGCTGTTAAGGAGGCTGAGGCTGGAGGATTACAAGTTTGAGCCTAATCTGGGAAAGTTACCAAGATCTTGTCTCAAAATAAAAAACAAAAAAGGGTTGGGAAAGTAACTCAGTGGGAAAGCATTTGTAAGGCCAGGACCAAGGAAGGAAGGAAGGAAAGAAGAATGGAAGGAAGGGAGGCCGCTCTTAATGCTGTTATTCACGCATCTGTCAAAATTGTTATAATTTCCCACATACACCCTACTCACCCCCACTGCTGGCAGGGGATAGAAACCAAGATGGAAAGGTAAAGAAGGCGCTTCCCACTGACAGGTCCTTAGTGAGGTGAAATCAGCAGTTATCACAGTGGGGCTCTCAACTGTCACCAAGAGTGATATTTATCAATATCTGTGAACACTTTCTCTATGGGAATGTTAGTATTTTTTCACAAAATGTACTCTTTTATCACTTTAGTTGAAACGTCACAACCTACTGCTTTGGGGAAAATCCTTAGTAAAAAATGAAACAGTGTTCTAGAAACCATCTCAGCACTGTCACTATAGGAAGTCTCTTACAGGAACAGACTCACAGATGTGGTGTCCCACGCCAGCTGGGCTCCTGACAAGCCTGGCAAGGGGGCAAAACCCTATCTTCTGCCCTCTGCCCTGCAAAGAATTTGGCTCTGAAATTGATGGAAATGTATTTCTTGGTGAAATTTTCAATATAGAGCTTTCAAGAATTCACGTGTGTTTGTTGTTGGAATTAAAATATAGGTAAGAGCATTGAGATCTTATTGGAGGTTGAATATTCAGATATTTTTAAATATTTAGGCAAAAGAATGATTAAAAGTCCAAATAAGATATATTACATAAAGTAACCAAAATGCATTCTAGGGGCCGGGGATTTAGCTTAGCAGCATAAGTTGCCTGACTGGCAAGCGCAGTCAGGAGTACAATCCCCGGTACCAAAAAACAAAACAAAACAAAACAAAACAAAACAAAACCAAAAAACCCTACCAAAATGCATTCAAGAATATCTAGTTAGGAATGAATGATAGTGTCACCAAACACGTGGAGATAGATTAGAGAACAGAAAACAAAAGGTAAATAAGAACATTTTGTTAGTTTTGAAATAGGCTGAAATGCTTCTGTTTCTAATTCTTTCCTTTGCCATGATAATCTATTTCTAGGAGAAGAAATTCCAGGAACAGATCTTGGCCCAGAATGATACCCTACTCCTAGAAAAAAGGAAGCTTCTAGAACAAGTCCTCAATCAAGAAGAATTGATCAGCAGCAACAAAAGCATAATCTCTTCAATTCAGAGCAAGTAGGTGCAGCTCTTCCTGAGAGCCACTGCACTCCCCAAAAGGCGTCCCTCCCTGGATGATTCCAGCTGCTCTGAGTTTGTGGCATGGCCCAGTGATGGTGAAGCTATGGTACACACGCTGCAGCAGGCCGTTTGTATCACTGAAAGCTCTAAAACGTTTGTCATCACTGGCCTAGTCTTTAACTTTTGCTGTGCTGTCTGCTGTTTTCACAAGACCAAGCAAGTGGCAGAAACTGAAATTACAGAAACTGTTATCTGGGTGTGATGGTGCAACCTGTAAGCCAAGCCCTCTGGAAGGCTGAAAATCCCAAGTTCCAACTCAACCTGGGTCACTTAGAAACTTAGCAGAAGCTTACCTCAAAAAAATATTTTTAAGCTTATAAAACAGTTTGGATCTGCTCAATGTGAAGGCCCTGAGTTCAAGTCACAAAAAGTAAATAGAAATAGACTCTCGTGAAGGAAGCAGGCCCATCGTTCAGATAGGCTCTCTCATAGCAGTGTGGTCTCACTGAGGTCCCAGCTATGTCTCTGTGTGCTGATGCTACTTTTTATCGTTTAACCTCTATGGAATTAAGGTATCCCAAGAGAGACTTAGGTTCATAGGAGTTAAAATCATGAAAAGTACAGGATACTCACATTTTTGTAATGAGAAGTATGTGAAGCAGCTAGGAATTAGAGCATCAGCATCATCAGCATCATCTCCACAGGAGAATTTAATCACAGTCAAAAGTTCTCTTAGTCGGGCCTGGTGGTAAATGTCTGTCATCTTACCACTCAGGCACCTATGGTAGGAAGACTGCCATGAGTTCAAGACCAGCCTGGGCTACACAGTAAGTTCAACAGCCTAAACTCCATAGCAAGATTCTGTCTCAGAACAAAAAAAAACAAACATAAAACTTCTGTTAGAGCGACAATCAGAACAAAGACAATGGGTTCATCTTGATGTATAAGGTCATCAAAAATAACTATAATATAAAGTGTATTCCTTTGTCAGAAAAAAAAACTATAATAATTAACATTGTTTAAGCACTTATATAGTAAGTATACTAGCTGATGTTCCAATATCTGCCCCGTTTTTCTTCTTTAATCTTGACACCATATTGTTAGCTTTATGAATGAGATGTTATAGAACTAACCCAGGCTTTTAGTGGCCAAGCTCATGTGGGTCTCAGTGCCCTGATCCTGGACCATAGCACCATACAGTCAGCTACTTTGGATACACACTGCTCTGAGCACACCTGGAGAGCTTCTGATTACATTTTATGTTCATCCTTCCCTTTTTCTACAAACCCTGCTCAAACTGTATCATGACCTCTGAAAATTTGATGAAGAAAGAAACTGTGAGTCACATTTGTAATCTGCAAAAGGTCACACCGCAAGGAAGTGGCAAATCCAGAGCCCAAATATAAGTCTGCAATCAAAACAATTTTATTGTTGTTTCTCTCAAGTGAATTGTGCCCCTGGGTAAATGAGTGTGACATAAAGATTAAGAGATTAGGGTTAGAAGTCTTAGAAGATCGGGCTTCACATCCCAGTTTTACAACTTCGTTTTCATGTCCTGAAGGACATTACGTTCCCTTCTGTGAGCCTCGGTTTCCTCAACTGTAAAATGAACTTCAAAACAGCATACAATTCATGGGATAGTTTTGAGCATTAATGAGCTAATTTATGAGTTTCCAGTGCTTCCCACGTGGGTGGGTTACAGGGCCTAAGCACAGGGTAAGAGGTTGATGAGTGGCTACTGCTGCTACTGCTGTTTCTTTTCTTTCTTTTTATTTGTTTTGTATTTCTTTGGGTTTTTATCTCTTTCTAGAATATCCTGCAGAACATTTTGAAGTGCTGGCTTGGTGTTCATAAATTTCTTCCAATGTTCTTTGTCATGGAAGTATCTTCTTCAATCTTGAAAGATACTTTTTCAGGGTACATCACTCTGGGTTGGAGGTGTTTTCTTTTAGGGCTTAAGCTCTCCTTGACTTGAGGGTTTGTATTGAGAAGTCTGCTGTGCTTCTGATAGACTTTCTTTCATAGATGATTTGTTTATTTTCTCTAGCAGCTTTTAATAGTTTGTTCTTGTGTTGAATTTCTGGAATCTTGACTAATATATGACTTGGTGTAGTTTTATCATGGCTAATTGGATTTGCATATGCCTGATTTATCTGCATGTCAGCTTCTTTTTTCCTGCTTGGGAAGTTTTTTGCCATGACTTCTGTGAACAGGTCATTTATATCATTTGTGCTGTCTCCTGCTTTTTCATTGACTCTGGTCAATCTTACATAATTCTTCTTTGCATCATCTAGCAGCTGCTATATTGGTTGCTTATGGTCCTTTACTATTTTTAAGAAATCTTTCTTTTCATAAAAAAGAAAAAAATCTCTCTATTCATGATTGCTATCCACTCTCCTATCATGTGCATCTGAAATTCTGTCCCCACATGGGCTCATTCTGTGGCATATACTTTCAGTGGAATTTTTAATCTCCCGGATTTCTGTTTGAATCTGTTTCATGGACTCTCTTTCCTATGTTGGATGTTTATGGTTCCCATCATTTTCCTAAGCTTCTCTATTTTTTATTTGTATCTTCTCTAGAGTCACTAAGCATGTCTTTCATTATGGTCACTATCTCTGTAGTTACTTGAGAAATTATTTTTGATTTGATTTTTTTCTGGAGCCTCATTCATTTGCTTTGTTACTTCCTCTGTTAATCCTTCAGAAAGTCCAGGTGGGTGGCTTGTGAATTGTTCCACCTCATTGTCTTTGGTGAGCTGGAAGTCTGTGTCTTGTTTAAGATTCATCTCATTTTATATTTTTTTAGTTTAATTCCTGGGTTGATGTTTGTAAATTGCTTATGATAAGTAGCTTTATTGCTAGAATTTAGAACCTCTAGGAAATTACTATTTCTCAGAAGTGTCTTCTGGGTATAGGCTGGCTTTTGGGTTTTGAGTTTGTTTGAAAGATCTTACCTCTTCAATTTATTGAGGATGAGAAGTTTCTGCCTAGTTGGCCCAGGCCCTGATTCTCTGGAAATGGCTTATAGTATTTCTTATGAACCTTAGATAATCTCAGTCTTGGTATACTAATAACAACTAATTAGAACAATTATGTCACCTTGGCTAAAGTGGTACAATCAGCAATAACAACAGCATCAAACACAGCCCAGAAAATGACAAAACTGAGATAACTATTAATTTACCACCTTTAACTATATGAACTAGATTTGTGATTCTATAACAAAATCTAAAACCAGAAAATTATATGCAGGAATTAAGTCCTTGATATGGTAATTTTACCCTCAGGGAAGAAAATTGAAAAGAGGGTTGGGAGAAAAAATTAGAGAAATAGAAGAAGAGGAAGAGATTAGGAGCAAGGCTGGTAGACACAGAAGACTGTAAATTTTGGGAAACTAGTGAAGAAGACAACAGGGAAAGAGAGAAGAAAGAAAGAATAATAAAAACACAACAAAACAACAAGAAAAGCTAGAAACTGCATTCATACTCATGAAAACAAGATCAAGAAAAAAAACAAAATAAAACAAAGAAAAAAAAGAGAAAAATGAAATAATGTCTACTTCGAGGCATGTCTCTGCTATCACTGGTAGAAAGAAAGCATGTGCAAGACAGAGTCTAAGCCTGAGTTGATTAAACCAGCAAACCAGTTGTAACTTTATGGCAGGGTAGTAGATAATTCCACATGCCTGTACCTTTATTTCCACGAAAGTTCAGACTGGTTTCTAGCTAGAACCAGATTTGCCAAACTCGAAGCAGTCTGTGTGTCTGCTACTGACTTGAGTTTGGATCCCTGACCTCCTGCTGACTTGAATTTGGTTCCCTGACCCTGTCATTGGGGAGCCACTAGATGGAGCTGACCTGCAGCTGCTCTCAGTTCTGTGCTCAGTTGGCCCCTCTCCAAAATGACTACCAGTCAGTCTTCTCCCAGGGGACGTCTAAACCCAGATAACTGACCAGGCACTGTAGCTTCCTGTGTCCACTGCTCCATTCCACTGGTGCATTTCTCTGTGGAGGCCTTGGGGGTCACCAATAGTCACTTTGCATCTGTTGGGTAGGTTCGAGTTGCCCCTCCCATGCAGTGAGTCTAGGCTCAGGGAAAAAGTGTCACCTGCTATTTCCTTTTTCACTGAAGTCCCTCTGTCCACTCTCCCTGTGGCCTTCAGTTCTTACTTCAGACACTTCCTGAGTCCTGAGGACTCACTTCCCTCCTTCTCTTCCTCTTGTTGCTATATTCCAGTGTCTGGACAGCAAATCTTGGAGAGGTTCTTTGCCCGCTGCTCACCACTCTGCCATCTTCCCAAAAGTCTTGTTTTGTTTTTTTAAGACATAGTCTTACAGTTGAAGCTGGCCTTGAATTTACTAGCCCAACTTATTCAATTTATGGTGATCCTCCTGCCTTAGCCTCCTGAGTGCTGGGATTACAGTCATGCACCACCACACCCAAACTATTCATTTTTTAAAATTTTATTATACCATTTCTATACCTGCAAAAAAGACAAAGCCAGCTCAAAGTGAGATAAGAACCAGATACAAGCAGTATAGCTATATTTAAAGGGATACAGTTCAAATCCTATTCCTAAATGGGATCATATCTTTTCTTAAATGTCTCAAGGTCTATAATTGCATATTCTTGTGCCCATATGTGTTTAATTAACGTACACATGCCAAAAGTTCATTAATTTTTACTTGGTTGTGGAATACTGTAAGAATTATTCTGCCAAACTTGGTTCTAAAATCTAGACAGCGTTCTCATTATGCCTCTGATGTGTGCTGTTCTTAGAGCATTTTTCCTGGATAAAGAAAATCAGCAGCTACAGGAGAATCATTTCCGTCTCATGCAGCAAGTCATCCTCCTGGAGCGCATTTTATGGAGCATCCAGATTCACAGAAGAGAGGTATGATGTGTGTCTTTATTGAGTCCTTAATTTAGTTGCTAAGTTTGCTTCGCTCTCTCGTCACCTTCATACAGATGCAGTCCTGTTCTCAGCCTCGTAGTGGGCTGTGACCCTTACACTGCCACTCTCCATCAGACCAGCTTTTATTAAATAGTCTCTGAACAAGGGTCCCAGAGCAATTTGTGTTGTGCTTCTGAGTATCTTCCTTGACACACTATACTGTCATTGTTTTTCTTTTCTTCTCTATCTCATTAGATCAGCAGTGAGATACCAGAGGGCAAGAACTGTAGCTCATTCATCATGCTATGGACAAGTGCTCCATAAATATTGGAGAATGAATGGATGTAAATGTTTCCCTTAGTCTGAACAACCCTGTTTTCAGGGATGGAGGGATCATTCTAGATCCATTCTAGATCCATTTGAAAAGAAAGAACAAATATGAAACTCAGGGATATAAAGTGAAACTAGACTAGTTTGCTAATGAGTTGACTAAGGAGAGCATCTGAGTCACAGAAAATCAGTTATGTTCCAACAATTCAGACAGATAAGAAGCCCAGTCCAAAAGTGCAAAACATAATACAGTTTCAGAAAAGGTCCAGAATCTGGCTGGAAGGCATGTCAGAAAGGGGTACTTCTCTGAGCCAAAGTGTACTTTGAATCAGGCATAGAGGTGGCTTCCTTCTTTCCCTAATTGGTATCACTTTGAAGACATTCTTTCCAGAGATGCTTCACAATAGATTCTGCTTCTTGAGCATTTTTGCTAAAGACCTACATTTTGTTTTGTCTTCAAAAGAGTTATGTCAAGCTTTTTGAGTTGTTTTGAAGGTTTTAAGAAAAGTACAAATTCTTGGAAACAGCCCAAAGGGGGAAAAAAAAAAAGAAAAGTACAACTGCCAGATTATATGCCCTGATTTTCAATAGTTTTATCTTTGCTTGAGCAACAACTGTTCCCATTTGTCTAGTTATTCACTCAGTCACTAGATAAACATTGATTTCAGGAACACAAAGACAGTGTCTGTCTTCCAGATCTTCAGTCTGGTAGAAAAGGACAGACACATACTCTCTTACTTTTTTCACTGCTGAGACAAAGTATCTGAACCCAAGGTTAAAGGAGGAGAAAGGTATTATTTAGCTCATAGTTTGCAAAGATTTCAGTTCATAGTTGACTGGCTCCAAGGTGGGGTGGCATGGGAAAGGAGCATCACAGAGGAGAAATAGTTTATGGCAGGCAGAAGCCAGCAAAAGCAAACAATTGACAATAGCAGCTTCTTTCTGCCCCCTTTATAGTCTATCTAAGCCACCTGACTTGGGGTGGGTGCCACAGGATTCAATGGACTAATTTAGTTCACACACCCTTAATCCCAGCATTACACATTCTAGATCCAGCCACCTCTGAAAAAGTCCCACCTATGACTCCATGAGGCTTTGGAGGCACACCTAGACACAAGCCATAACACATACATAAGTAAGTATTACAGTATTACAAGAGTTTGAAGACTTAGTGGGACATATGGTGGGACTAACAGCTTTGAGATCCACAGTGTTACTTTCAAAACAAGAGAATAAATGTTATCATGGGTCAAAAATGTAGTACATCAAGCTCAATAACCCATGTGTATCAGAAGTACCAAGTCATACCATCTTCATACCTATTCGAACAAGCAACTCCTAAATTGTTTTTAAACTTAGAATCTCAAGGATCCTCCAATTTGTTATTATTATTATTTCACACAGAAGGGAAATAAAACCCAGAGAGATTAGGTGATATGACTGAATCCACAGTTACTGCTTACATTTCCCAGATCTTTCAATTCTCATTGAAGAATATTACACATTGAAAACAGATCAGTATCTAGATGCTCGAGATCAGACTTGCTGCTATTACCTTTCCTTTGATTTAACACCGAAGCCCACAGTTTTAGAGGCTCAAGTCAATGATTGGGTGGTGCCACTGATTCTGCCTCTGGTGAGCTCTGAGCAGCAGAGGATATCATGGTGGGAAAATGTGTAAGAGTGAGACCACGCTGTAAGATGGGAAGGTAGAGAAACCGAGGTCGTACATCCCCCTCCCAGGGCATGTCCCTAATTGACCTAAGAACCTCCCACTGGCTACTACCTCTTAAAGATTCCATGCATCTCCAGACACCTAACAACTTCCCATGTTGGCTCCCCTTTCCACTTTCCAGGCCTCTGAATCCTACATGCTGTCAGCTCCTAGCTCTTATAGAAAAGCCCTTCTCCTCCATTGCCTTTTCCTAGGACTTCCTCCCTTAGAATTTCTCTTGGCTGGCTCCTGCTACCCCTTATAATTCAACCTAAATATCTTTTCTTTCACAGGGTTTTTTCTGAATTCTTCCTTCTTGAAACCTTGCTTTGTGTTTTTGACAGATTTTTTGTCACTGTATCCTTTGTATCAAATCCCAGCTTAGCCAAACATGAGGTCACTGAATGCCTGTAATCCCAGCACTCAGGAGGCTGAGGCAGAAAAATTGCTGTGAGGCCAGCCTGGGATACAGAATGACAACCTATTTCAGAAAAAAAAAAAAAAAAAAAAAAAGAAAGAAAGAAAAAAAAACTTTTTTTGTTTTTATTTTTATTGTTTTATTTTGTTTTGCTTTGTTTTGCAACACAGTCTTGTTACTATGTAGTTCATGCTGGTCTTGAACTTATTACATAGTCTTACCCAGGCTGGCCTCAAATTCAGTGATCCTTCTACCTCAGCTTCCTGAGTGCTAGGATTATAGGCATGCACCACCATGCCTGGCTAGAAAAAAATTAACTCAGAACTTTCCTACTTATGTGAAAGTCAAGATGATTCATTTTACTAGTTCCCTCATCTGAGAAAATTAAGCACTAACTCTCTAAAGATGTTTGTTCCATACAAGCACTCATACACAAATGTCCATAACAGCATTATTCATAATATCCATAAGGCCTAAACAATGAAATGCCCATCAAGTAGTAAAAAGATAAGCAAAATGTGGCATATCCATAGACGAGACTATACATATATCACAATGTGGATCATAAAAAGGAATGAAGTATTGATCTATGCTATAACATGGATCAATATTAAAAATATTTTCTAAGTAAAAGAAAACAATCTCAAAAGATCAGATGTGATTCTATTGATATAAAATGTCCAGAATAGGTGTCTGAGTCACTTTTCTCATCACTGGGACAAAATACCCAACTTTCACAACTTAAAAGAAGACAGGTTAATTTTGGCTCATGCTTCAGAAAATAATCAGTTGGCTCCAAAGAAAAAACAGAATGCATAGGGGAATGATAGGTGAAAGCTACTCACAGAATGGTGAACAGAAAGCAGAGAAAAGAGAGTCTGATGAGGGATATAAATCCCCAGTGACCTGTCTCCTCTGAACAAACCCTGCTTTCCAACAGCAAGTCTGTTATTACACCCTCATAATCCAATTACTCTTCAAAATCCCTGCCTATGAGTGCATGAGACTTTGGAGGGTCTTCTAGATACAAACTATAACATTTACCTCCTAATCCCCAGAAGGTTTATATGCATTTCTTTACACAAAATGCATAGTTTATCTCTAAGAGTTACCAAAGTCCTAACAGTTTCAGCATTGCTGAACAGTCCAAGTCCACAGTCTCCACTGAGATTTAAGGCAAACCCTTAGCTGTGAGCTCCTGTAAAAATGAAATTTAAAAAAAAAACTTAAAAACTGCTAATGTACAATGGCATAGGTAAACTTTCTCATTCCAAAGAAAAAGACTAGAGGATAGAAAGCCATAGAACTAAAGCAAAGGTGAAAGTCAATAAACTTTAAATCCTATAGCTCTATATCCTGCCTCTTAGGTAGGTGTGGCAATATGTAACCTCCAAATGTTTGGGCGACCCCACCCCTGTTGCATTGCTAGTGGTTGTACCCCTCTTGGCTTTTCTCTTGGGCTGGCTTTCCTTATTCTTTATGACTTTGCTCAGATGTTTCCAGGTTCTCCTACTTTCTGGGCTTTCTACTGAAATTTCAATTTTACACACTGCCCTTGCAGAGGCACACTGCCTGGCTTCCAAAGCCTTTTTCTGGTGGAGGCTTCTATTACCCTTTAACTCTTACATTCTTCGTGCCTATAGAATCAGCTCCACATGGATAATACCAAGTATTCTACCAGCTAAAGCAGTAGCCAGGTCCTTCTGCATAATGGCTTTAGAGGCCTCTTGAGTGCCTGGAAGGCTAAACATTGTGAACACCAGAGGTGCCGTTTGGGAGCACAGTGCCTTGGAGCTCTTTACTCACAATGGGGTTCTTTGTGGTTCCTGATTTGCCCTTAATCATATTTCCTATTGTCCTGATCCAAAGTATTATACTTGGCTTCTTTTTAATGCTATTCTTTCCAGCCACAAACCTTTCCTCTGCTCTGTCTTTGCAGGCACTTTCTTTCTGGCAAAACCAAAAACATTTTAAATCAGCTTTTTGCACTCATATTTTAGTATAAACCTGACTAAAATCCCCGCAAAAGTGTCCATGCCACAGATCCAACATTGGGCAGGCTTTAAATTTCTTCCACAAGATTCATCGGTCTGTTTCACTTAATCTCAGTCTCTTGTAAAGTCTCAGGACCTGAGCAAAATAGACCAATTTTCCACCAAAGTGTTAAACATGTGGTCTCAGAGTCCAACTTGCAATGGAGTCTTTTTTCCCAACTGAAACCTCTTGAGCCAGGTCTTTACCATCTGCATTTCTGTCCACATTCTGGTCTTTTTTTTTTGTCTTTTTCCTTTTTATCGATACCGGGGATCGAACTCACGACTGCCTGCTTGCAAGGCAGGCACTTATGCCACTGAGCTAAACCTCCAGCCCCCTCACATTCTGGTCTTTTGAACTCCAACCAGAATCTTCTATCAAGTTTGGCTCACAGCATCCATTCCAGGGCTTCTGTCATTGGCATTTTCAAATCTTTCCAAACTCCTCCCTCAAACAGATTCCAAAGGCTTCTGAACCACATGTGTCTTAGTTACTTTTCTAATT